TTCTGTAGTTTGGGTATGGTCACAAAAAACAACAACAACAACAACAAAAAAAAAAAAACAGTCCCAACCTTTCTTCTGGTTCTGTGTTTCTGTTCTTCCATGTAGTCACTGTAGTACATACAAGGAAAAACAAATGCAACACAGAGGTGATAATTTGTAGGCTCAACATTGTTGAGGTGCAAGGGCACACACCATGGTCGGAGGCAGCATCATACATTGGCTTGTGCAGAAGCAGACAGCACGATGTCTTACAGCATCTCACAAGTATACAAACTTATTCACGTGTTACCAGGAAACCAGTTCAATTACTAAAGCATTTTATGTTTCATCACAAATTTTTTAGTGCACCAGAGCGTGCATTTCAATATCAACATTGCCACACAAAGTTTTCTACTGAAAATGACTTCTCAAGTCAGCACTAAATAGAATGATTTATGACCAAGGGACTTCTAAGTCAGATGTATCTGTGCTTTGTGACTGCTGTTGACCTTAAGAAGTATTCTCAGTTTTGCCATAGGTTCCTCCCTATATAACGGACAGTACTTTGAAACTCTGTCCCCAGGAGATGGGAGACACTGGTGAAGAGACAGGAAACACCTCCTTAGCCCCTAAGAAAACATATCTGAGCATGCATAAACCCAAGAGAGTGATCAGTTTCATTTAAATTGATCGGCTTTAACTACTACTTAACATTAAGACAAAACCAATGCAACATCATTCTGTGCATGCTTTAGTTTGTCTATATTTATTGGGCTTAAAATAGCGGTGCAAAAATTAATGCTTCTGAATCCAAAACTAGGAAAACAAAGAATGTCTACTATTAGATGGTCACTTTCAAAGTAAATTTATCTTCACCTAGAGTATAGTCTTCCAAATAGTTCTAAAAGTCACTGTAGCCTCAATTACTATGCTTTAGTTATACAATCAATCTACGTATCAAATAATGATCTAAACAATTTTGTATCAAAGTGAGCAAAAAGACACACTTATTAGAAGTTGCTAACAACAAAAGGCAAGCAGCCTGGTTTTATTTTACTTCCATTTCCTTTTTTAAGTTTTGCTTCAATATGATTTCCATATTTAGTATATAATATAAAAACTATGTGAAAATGTGACCTAACCTTCGTCAGAAGGAATCTGTTGCGGTAGAAATTCTGCCCTCTTTTCCCACGCATAAACCATGTCAGCTGACAGGCAAGGCTTTCTAAAGCTAGCAAGGGATATTTTTGCGATCTGTCCTAAAAGAGCGGATGAAACCATGCACATAACTTTTTTTCATACGTCCTGTGACTTACCAGATGCTAACAGCAGAATTGATAAATGCTTTCTCTGCTTGTGTTCGAACCTTGACAGAGACCAATGAAAAACACTAGCTGCTTCTTCATGTGGCAAATGACATGAAGTGACAGGATTCTTGGGAAAATGTAGTCAAGATGGCATTTTTAGTAATTCAGGAAGGGCCAGGCCGAGCTTTACGAGATGAGCGGCAATCCTCACATTGTATGTTTATGTGTCAGGAGAAGATCCACAGGGATGATCTGAGGCAGAGCGAACAAAACCTACACTGAATTCCTTTTATTTCAACTCAAAAAGCATGTGTCCTTCACATTCTAACTGTGTGCTACCTACCACTCTGTCTCCAGACTCTGTTATAGCATTGCACACAACACAAGCTCAGTGAGCGTACGTTTCAATGACTATGTTATCTGAGACTGCCAGAGGACACGCAAACTCCAACAAGACACAAAAGGTCCTGTGTTAAGGCAGAGAAATAATAAAGTGTGATTGATCCTCTTGCCTAAGTTCCATGTAGAGCATGTGATTACATATCAGTATTTGCATAGACAAACATGGAATAAAAGGATGGCTAAATAATCAAGAATCAGTAGCAGCCTCTGAGAATCATGAAACCCAAGAAGATTGACCTCCAGAATTGTAAAGGTTTTATTGTTTAGGCTTCTGACTTTCAAATAAAGTTATCTCCCCAAACTCGATGTTTAGAATTGAATTTCCATTTCCCCAGTACGCCGTGTGTTTGTTTCAAAAATAGCAGAATCATTCACAAGTTGTGACGAGAATGAATTAGGATTATAATATGTTAGCCTTTTGTACATAGCATAATTATACTGATGGCAAAATGCTATAACCACAGGCTAGTAGCTGATTGCACGTGAGACAGAGCCAAATAAATAGTTTGATTGGCGTTGCAAATACTTATGCAGCCTTGACTGTTTCCAGCCAGGCCTTTCTGCATTAGCCTAAATGATCTGTGTTTCATAATTCAGATGCAGCTTACAAACCCTTTTGATGAGGGGCAATATGGACCCTACTAATTCCTTTCACAAGATCTGAGATACAGAAAAGTTAGATCGCTTATCGTTTCCCTGTGTTCACAGAAGTCTGAGCT